TCACTTTGGGTTGTGGAAGCGCGAAGAGACTTTGGTGTTGGAAAAGAAAATCGGAAACTTGGTCGATGGTGTATCAAATTAAAAAAAACAACATTTATTTTCACTTTACAGGGGCTTTTATAAATCAGGCGTCAGCACCCCTCGAGATGTTTGAACTTGTTGAATTGATGAGTCATCAAAGGTCTTGATTTAATGGGAATAATGATGCATGGATGCAGTTCAAATAATTGGTCACATTAACCAACTGAGGACATCTTATAGCAGGCATGTCTTAGCGCCGGTCCTCGTGGGCGCCGTCCTGCCTGTTTTTCGCTAGAATGTCAAGTTTTTAAGCTGTAGCATTGCCGTTTTCTTTAAAAATACGTAATAAATGTGTATGGATGTAAATAAAACACTAAGAATAGTTACCATCTTTGAAAACTAAAAAAAAACAAAAAAAAACAGCATGAAATGAAGTTGAACGGTATGCTCAGAGTTACAAGGTTAAGAGGAAAGCCAGTCGCAATCCTCTTAAATGGTACGATGCTAGCTTTCTGTTTGCAGGTATTGAGAGTCCTGACCAATTGGGAGTTGCACACACCTCTCACCGCACTTTCTGAATTCTGACTGCACAAACAAGTTGCCACATAGCTATAGATGAGTCCAATCATCATAAGATGGCAAACCTTACAACAGCTAATCAGTGGAATTTTGGCTGGTTAAGCTCTAGAGGGGAAAAAAAAATCCTCTTGACGCGCTAGAAAGAAATAGACTGCCATTTTGGATTCAATCTTAGTTTTAATCTACATGATAATCAAATTCAAACAGATTTTTTTTTTTTTTACACATTGTTCCCCATCATTATTTTAAGTAAGGAACTGATGACTCAGGCCTCAAAATGAAATGCGTTCTTCATTGACAGCCATGCGTTCTCTCAAAACATTAAAACATACAAACAAAAAGATTCAGTGGCAACTGGAAAAACATCACGTTGGCACTATTTGTCCATATTAAAGTGACCAGTCAATCCTACTAAGCATGCTGGGTAAAATGAAATAATCTCAACTTTCGGGGGAGGACAAATGCAGCAAATTCATATGTTTGCAATTAAGCATTTCTATGCAAATGTGTGTCTCCTGTGTCGTGACAATGGCCTTCGTTGCAAACTTCACTATGCTCCCTGTGAAAAACCACTTTAAGCCGAGTGGCTATACCGTTCTGTAATTCAAGTGATTGTTTTGCACAAACAGAGACATCATGTAGGGAACAGGATCCTGCTGCTTATGCCGTCGGAGTGCTAATGTAGGTGGTTGCTTGAAAGAAAAAGCACAGGGAGGAGGTGAGGAATCGGGAGACAATAAATGATTGACAGTGACATGGAGATAAACCGAGAGAGAAAGGCAAATGGAATGGAAAAGACATGCAAGCACGAGGGAGATTGGAGGAAGTCAAATAAAGATAAAAACGAGACCGTGAAATAACGGCGTGCGAATGAGGTATGGTAATAAAAACGAAAGGGGAAACAAAGGAGGTGCGAACGAGATGCCCACCACCAGTTCTGTCCCACATTTTACAAAGACTGCGTTAAATCACGCTCGGCTAGGCGCCGTGCAACATTGTCTCGGATTGTGTTGCACTTTGACCTGCAACGATTCCCACTCGGCGAGGTATGCGTGCTTGAAACAGGTGCTGAATGGTCCCAACGTGGCAATAATGTGCCATTGTATTATTTTCAGAGCAGCGCTTCTCTTTTTGAAGAGCAAAGAAGGACTCAATGAAGTGAATACAGAACTATACAATGGGTTCTTAAACACAGCAAAGTACTTTATATAACTCAAATACATCGAATCTACATTAAGCCCGCTGTCCCTAAAATTTTTCTCAAGTCCTCACAAGATTGTTTACGAAAACACCAAATAGATCTCAAGCTGAAAAGGGAGAAAATATGTTCTTTTCTCATTCGAACTTTTCAAAAGACTGGCAGAGTGACAGCCTCATTTGCATGCATAAGTGTAAAAACGACTGTAGCTTCATTAATTACTAGAGGAGTCACATTTATTCGTTTTTTTTTTTTTTTGCTCCATTGGCAATGTGAGCCATGTTTACTGGTGAGCAGTGAGACGTTTTATCCGGAAAGGAATGTTGAACAATAAGTAATAATTAGCGTTTTGCTTGGAGGGTGGCACGGCGGGCGACTGGTTCGCTAATTGGCCTCACAGTGCAGAAGTGCAGGGTTCGATTCCGGCTTTGACCTTCCTGTGTGGAGTTTGCATGTTCTCCCTGTGCCTGTGTGGGTTTTCTCCGGGTACTCCGTTTTTTTTCCCCACATTCCAAAAACATGCATGGCAGGTTAATGGAACACTCGAAATTGTCGCTAGGTGGGATTGTGAGTGCGAATTGTTTGTCTATGTGTGCCCTGCGATTGGCTGGCAACCGGTTCAGGGTGTCCTCAGCCTACTGCCCAGAGACACCTGGAATAGGCTGCAGGACGCCCGCGACCCTCGTGAGAAAAAGCGGATTAGAAGAGGAATAGATGTGAGCTTGGTGCAAAAAACACTAACACGACTTCAAATGAACAGCACCTTATATTCAGTAACCTTCATATACCACCTCCCCCGCCCTCCCAAAAAAGGCAGCAAAGACAAAGGACTGGATTTTTAAAGACATGCTCACATTGTGTTTTACTCTGACAGTCAAATTCATTTTGTGCTTTTCATGCCAGAAGGAGAACTTCTCCTTGAGGCTCAGACAGAACCTAGTCGACACTTGCTGTCAGATCTAAAACATTGATATTCACACCGGCTTTAGGAGATGTTGAATCTACAAGTCTCCTCAAGTACCGGTAACTCCTTTTGGTCCTATGACGACGTATATATCGTTTAGGAGATGTTGAATCTACAAGTCTCCTCAAGTAACTCCTTTTGGTCCTGTGACGACGTATATATCCTCAGATGTGGTTCAAAGGTAGCTAGGCTGTGGCAATCAATCACAAGATGAAGAGAAAGCAGGGGGAAGCAAGGTACATGATATTTATTCCTGTGACTTTCCGGGGCCGTGGCACAATGGAAAACTAGACGTGCTAAATGGTCCTCGATAAAGCCGCCTTGTGCACGGCTAACTCCACATTGCTTGGGGACAATGAAACAACAAAGTGGACCGGCAGGGCACGGGGTGGTGGTGGCGGCGGGGGTAGAATGGGCTGTCTTGTAATCAGAAGGTCACTAGCCTGGCTGAGGGCCATCGCTCATATTATTGCGTGTCCTTGAGCAACACTGAACCCCAAATGACTAACGACTGAAGCGCGCGATGGAGCAGGAACATGTGTGTGTGTGAAATACGGCTAAGGGTCCGGAATTGTGATACAACCAAAAGGTGTTTATGACCGATTTTTGGTAGGGAGTCAATGAGCAAACTCATCTCCTTACTTGGAGCCACATAGGACCAGTACCAGTTTGGGAAAGGATAGATACTTGAAAAGTGATTGGATGAACGTTGTGACTTTTGTTGTTAGCAGTGAAGTACCTCGCTCGAGCTTGACAACGTCAATTTGTGTTTTGCTCCGATTCAATTTATTTTATTGGTAACTTGAAAGAACAATTGACTGTTGGCCAATTAGCTTGGTAGCTGTTTCACCCACAGCAAGAGTACCAATGCCAATTAATTCAAAAGGTACCATGATGAAGGGTTCCTGAAAATGTGCTCGGTTGGAGTCCGATACGAATTGAACCATTTGGTGGAAAAGGTCCTTGAGTCAAATTGGCCAAATGCCCTTGTTGATGTCTCGGTCGGCTCATTTGCCTCAATTTTTTTTTCTTCATCTTCCACAATCAATCATAGCTTGAAACTTGTCAGCATGGATTTAGCGTTTTTTTGTTTTGTTTTTTTTTTCTTTTGCATACTGTATATATTACCACTACTCAAGCAGACTTATCCTTAACCTGAGACTAGTTGAAGAACATTTAGACAACCTTTGATGCACATTAGGTTGTACACTTTCAACCCCAATTTTATGGAAAAATATACATCAAAAGTTCGTACTATATGAGGAAAAAAATGTTTTATTGCATGCACAAATTAAGTTTACTCAGCAAATACGACAACGTTGGGTATCATAGTAGGAATGTTCGTACTCTGCACACAAGTAGACGCAAAATCCTCGTAGGATTGACGACTTGTGAGTGTCACCCCATTTTGTTCTCGTTTGTGTGCGTAATTTGATGAATCGGAATTCATCCTAGCTGGCAGTCGCGTGCCCGTGGGCCACAAATTTGCATAAGCCCTTCCCACAATTCCCGAAAAAAAGGGGATTCATTTGACACATCTCAGCCAATGCATGGAGGTCTAAAGTTACAAAAGATTAAAAAAAACAGAACAGCTGTCAGATTGGTGCGTACGCATGGTTACTAAATGAGGGCCAATGTCTAAAACAAAACAAGGAATTGGGAAGGAGTGGGGGGGTGATTCCTTTTCCACTTTAAAGGTTTCTATGTGTTTTCAAAACAATTAAATTGCTCTGTCTGGTAAAATTTTCAACCATAAGGTCAAGTTAAAATGCGATGTACTGTTTAAAGAACATAAGCATAGAATTTTACAGGTAGTGTCCGAAGGTGCTGCTTGTTTGTGTAGTTTTTTTTTGTCCCGGTTTGCTTGAATGGTCAAACCTTTTGCTTAAGATGGAGAGAATGACAATGCTAGCAACACAATTGCTATGACAGCACAGAGACGGGCTTGTTAAAATAAGCACCAGAGAAAACAAGAGGGGACAGCGCACACATGGGAATGTCAGTTGACGTCGGAGGTGGGAATGTTTGGGCTCGAGGCTTAGCAGAAAGGTGACTGTACGAGAGCAGCAAAGTGCTTCAAGTCTCGGGGGGAGGGTGGGGGGGCTACACTAAGCCAAGGAACAGCAAGGCACTCAGTGAAGGAAAAAAAAAAAAAAAAACGCTCTCAGATAAATAAAGACACCAGATGAACAAACGCAGGCTATGCGATCACAAGTGAGGCAAAGTTTTTGTGCTCACCTTGACAGGATCCAAGGATTTCTTCAAATCCTGGCTTGCATACGCACTTCCCGATGGGAACCAGCCATTCTCCCTCAGAGCTGCAATGCATCCTGGGAGGCTCGTATAAAGGCAGTGAATTGTTGACGCAGCGACCCACGACCTCCACTAGCTGCGAGGCCTCTGATCCCGGGATGGTATCCGCGAACTCGGCCAGGCTTTTCACAAGAAGCGGGCAACGTTTGTAGAAAACTCGCACCGAAACCAGAGCGATGCAGGCTCCCAAATCCTGAAAAGCCAAGTAGAAGCCCTTCCGGGTCAAAGGGCCTAAATCGCGGACTTCGGTGTTGAGCTTCATAACCCGATCCCCGAGGTCAAGCTCAGTGAAGCTCTCGTCAGCCGCTATGGTGTCGATTTTGATGTACTGGCTCTCCTTCAAGGCCCTGTCTTCCTCCTCCGTTATCCTCTCGCCGTCCTCCATTTCTCCATCCTCCAATTCGCCCCCATCCGTTTCATAGTAGTACATATTGAACGTCTCCTTGCAAGTTCCGACGCCGCCGGGGAGGCTGTTGCAGTCTCTCAGGGTGAACTTGAGCTCTATGTAAACTCGCTGGGCTCCCTCGGTCAGTATCCAGTTGGTGTGAAGCCAGTTGTTCTGGTTCTGCTCCATGACCCGACACACTTGGTAGGTGTGGATGGGGGCATAGTCTTCATCTACTTCCCCGATTTCTTCCCACTGGTGCAGGAAAAGGAGATACAGAAAAAAAAAAACAACTCACGTCAGACTCCATGAACACAGTTTCCATGAAGCTACAGTTCAATGTGAGCAGTCTGAACCACACACTTCCTAACGAGGTGCATGACAAATATGCTATTTTAACGACCATATGGACAACGTATGTGCAAAATAAGCGCTCTTTATACTTTGTGTATTGCATGTTTGATAATATTTTTTTTAATGCATGGGAAAAGGATTTGAAGCAAAAAAGAAACGAGCCACATACTGTGATCGTTTCGGCCAGTGCAAAATGACGCTCTTACATAAAAATGAATAAATGAATAAATAAATAAATAACTCCAATTCAAGAATTGCACAACCCTGCTGAGCAAAAAAAAAAAAAAAACCACTCCAAAAAATTAAATGCAAATTTTTGTACATAATGTCCAAAAAAAAAAAACCATCCAAAAATTTAAATGCAAATTTTTGTACATAATGTCCAAAAAAAAAGAATTTAACTGACTAAAATTTTTTATATTTTTGAGGTACTTTGCTTGTCCTGTATATTATTCCAAATCCGCAAAAAAAAAATATTAGGCCTACTCAGCATGTATGACACAGTGAAAGCGTTACTAATAAATGTCTTCCATCTAGTGGCGATTGGCGATATTACAACTTAAAACTACAGTCAACTCCTGCATATTTGCAAATTTTTTATTTTTTGGGGAAAATGTATTTTGAATGTTTATCGGTGGGTTTTTTTTGATAACTGCAAAAATAAAAATACATGCCGCATGCTATCAGTTGCCCTTCCAAGGTGTAGCTTGACTACACTTTCTAAAATGCCCAGGATGTCATCAATATTATAAAAGACAATACACATGTGAATTGTCCCACTTTTTAATCAATTCCTCCGGTTCTTCTGGTCACAGTAATACATGCTTAACATGCGGGTGTTTGTTGATTGGACACAGTGGAACGTCTTGGAACATGATGAAAAACAATAAATGTGTCACACTTATCTTCTCTGCTTAATTCAAAGGCACGTAACTACGTAACATAGCTGTCACAACTACCGCCATCCCACCTACGCGCATCACACTGCAAACACAATCTTGTCTCTTGGGGTCGTGCTATGGTGACACTTGGTGGACCAATGCTGGCCGAATGTTTCTAACCTAGAAGAAAATCAAACAATAACTAAGAACCAATACACTCCACAAATATAAGATTGTACTTTCTAGAAACATAATTTAGTATAATTGAAGTCCCCATCATTTGAGCGATCGACTATTTTCTTGTTTTTTGTCGCTCCCAGTCAACATTCGAAGTCACTCTTCTTCAAAATGACCGTGTCAAGCACTTTATTGATTTTAAATCATATCCTATCTACTTTGTAAGAAGCCCGAGACACCAGAGCTCCTCAGATTACAATTCATCATTGATAGCTTTACAGAGATGCCATACCCTGATCAGCTAGTTTGGAAACCATTCAAGCGTTCATCTGTGCTTTGCGGTACTTATGTAGTTAAATGATTTAACACCATGCACAGGTGAAGAGAGTAAGAACCATGAAAAATCGAGTCAAAATGAGGCACAGCAAAGCCCTATGTGAGGCTTAACACGCAACATGTATAAAGAGCTGTGAGTGGCTCATATGGATGGCAAACTAATCCTCATCCTTTCCACCTCATTTCCCCTCAGTCCAAAAGATTTGAGCGGGTTCTGAGTGGAGGTATTTATCATAAACGAGGGGCGGAGTTCTTGTCAGCAAAAAATAAAAAATAAATGACTGAGTGTGTACTTGTAGATGAGCTTGCTCATCTATGAGTCTTGTAGAGCCATACCTGCACAAAAGTTAGTCTAGTCCTCCCTGACGTGTGTGTTCTCAACTTTCCTGGGACATGGCTATTATCTGCATCGCTAGCACCCTCCCCTGGCTAAAACAGGCGCTTTATCATGTCAGCGTAATATGGCCAGAGGGACCAGACTATGATCTGGTGTTATAGCTTAATAGCCCATATTAATCATCCTTTCCACGGTTGCTGTACACAACCTTGTGCCCTTGTCTTTTTCTCCCTCCCCCGTGTCCCTCTACTTCAGTCTTCTTCCACCTGATTACTTTTCATTCCTCCCCACCTTTCTGTCTTTTGTTTAGGTCGTACTCATCGACGTTACGGAGCCATTTCGGCATCGTTCACAGCGTAGTTAAATTTATTTGCATTTTTGTTGATGGGGAGGCGGGGGTTTAGTTTCATGGGATTGCAAGGCGATTATAAACTGGGGCTATTTCCAGACATGATGCTTCTGTGCATACGTCACTTTATGAGTGCAGCAACATACCGTACACGCATGTGCATGTGTTGGGTGCATGTGCCGCTACAGTTATGTCTGAGACTGCAGCACACTCTGAGACATTAAGCTTCTTACTGGTTTGATCATGCAGATTCTGTAGCCTTCACTGAGCTTCATACAGCTTAGCGCACACACACACACACACACACACACACAAAAAAGAGCACACACACACATTCCTGTACTTGTGGCACAGTGAGGACCAAGTAAAAAGGCCTAGAAAGCGAGGACACGCACGCACGCACGCACTCACGCACACACGCGCACATACACACACACACACACACACACACACACACACACACACACACACACACACACACAAAGTGAATGAGCGTTAGGCATTAAGGTATGGTGACCAGTGAGCACGGACTGATGAAAAAAGAAAAACATGGGAGGTGGGGGGAACAAGTCCCAAACTGTGCTCCAATAAGGGGAGGGCACAGTGTGGGCTTGGAAAGAACCTCTGCAACGGCCACAGGAATAAGAGATTTGGGAGGGGAAGGGGGATCAGGCAGGGGCAAAAGGTAGCAGCCTCCCCCCAGAACTGCTGCGCTGCGAATGTAGCCTTTCAAACTGTGCCGCACCTCCTCAGCGCACTTGGATGAAAAGCACTGATGATAGGGTTGTGTTTTAAGTTGTGTGATCATGAGCGTGTTTTCAACTTTTGCGGACAGAAAAAAATAAATGACTGAGCATCAATGGCTTATTTCATTCCATTTTTGAAGGCTCACGGTTGTTGCAGGGAAACCAATATTTATTCGTTTGAGAGGTGGTAATCTTTTCCCTAACGACTGTTGAGGTGCCCTGGAGCAAGGCGTCAAACCTCTCTTGTACTCTCTTTTTGAATGCCTGCCATGTGTGTGATCTGGATCTCTGTGTGGTGTCCACCAAAAAAAAAAAAATACACGCAGCACTAAGTAGGTTTCATTTTCCCCCCGCGGGATAAAAATATACTTCAAGTACAATAAAAAAATAAATAAGAATATCTGGAATAAAATAAACTTCACCTCACTGTCCCAACTTCCCCTCGGATGCGGTTCAATGAACTCCCTCAAGACATCAAGAGAAAAGATTTCTCTTCTCTGTTGGAGAAATGCGGCAAAATAATCCACATGAATTGCAGCATTGTTCTGAAGCGGTGGGAAAATAACGCCAAGGTTTGATCACTGCAGGTTGATCCGTTCAGCCTCTATTTCACCTCTGCGTGCTGCTCCGCTAGCCATCCTTATCACTCGCATGCAAACACTCGAGAGTCCCTGTCGGCATCCCCCTCCAGCTCCTCATTAGGGTGTGTGTTTGTTTTGCTGACTGTTATGTGCACGCCTGTTTGTGTCTGTGTTTGTCACATCAGTCAGAGGACCCCCCGCCGCTCTGCTGAGTGGCCTCCCGGCACTGCGAAGCTGTCTCCAACTTATTATTGCCGCCTATTACAGCTGACCGCCATGACACCGTAATAAGAACAGCGGTCCCCGCTCTTTATCCATGAAAGAAACACCAGCATGATCACCAACACCGGTAACACCCTCCCACTTTTTTTTTCTCTACTTTTGCACCCAGCTGGCACGGCTCCGTCCATCACTATAATCATTTTCCGACTGCGTGTCCTCTATTATTGCTTTCACCACACCGTCAAAAACACAGCGACGCTTTCGGGCCACACGCTCTGCGTTCTGCTTTCCAATTTCTGCAAGTTGTCTTTCCATAAAGCCCGTAATTGGATCTCATTCACCATCGCGTCTTACATTATTCATTTCCTTAAAGAAAGGGCGCCAACAATTTTGTCCACACGGGCATGTAAAATTGACTCATTCGAAAGAAAAATCGACAATAATGGATCGTAAGTGAGGGTGATTATTCTTTAACCCCTTTCACTTTACTCCTCCATTGTCCTTATTTTTGAGAACTGCTCCAGATTCTCGCTGGTCGGCTGCCATTGAGCATTGATGCCTAACCATCAGCCATTTTTGTGAATGCGTACGTGTGTGCTCAGCACTTTTGTCACTCGTCTGCCCTTATCTCAGGCTTCTCGTGCTGAATCAGCAAGACAGTCCATGCATGCCGGACTATTCGCTCAGGCGGGTGAATCAGCCACTGCTCCAATGCGCTTCCATAGATGAGCTAGTAGGCGAGAATTTGATTGTGGAGGATAGGCAGCCGGTTGATCCAGCCTTCAACTTCAGCTGAATAGCGATCACACGTAAGCTTAGGTACAAATGGTTTGAATCAAGACTTCGGAAAAGTGAAGTAGAACACGCTGTCAGACTGCCAGATAGATGTGCTCTTTGTCCAAGGATGAAAGCTGAGCCCTTAAGATTTCATATAAAACAAGCATGAGTGGTGCAAGGGGCAAAAGTCTCTCTGGTCAACAAAAAGTGCAGTGGTCAAGCGTTTAGCTGAAAACTAGTATGAGGAAATCACAAATCTCAAAGTGTTTTTTTTTGTTTGTTTTTTGTTTTTTTTTGTTTCCAAGAAATGCCGAAAAGGCTCCGTCACGACTTCTTGCAGTATACGCCATTAAGATGTTTTCCAGGTTTAGTGACGTGAAGTTCACAATGCCAGTGGTGACATTAATTTCAGTTGACAGCAGAGGGCGATACTGCCCAACGCGGCCGCCTCCTGAGATGGATGAAAATTGATGAATAAATCCGTTCAATTCTTATATCATAAACCCAATATTCGTGAGAATAACGCGTTTAGGCTAATATATACACAACATCTTGTTGCTAAAAAAAAATTGGGGAGTTTAGTTCCCTTTTGAAGGCGCATGCATGTACATAACCGCGACAAACCTATTCTAGTTTCTCCATATCCTGTATTTGCTTTAAAATTGTTTATTTGTTTATGTTAAAACGAAACAATTGATATGTGTTTAAAGAGTGTTGGTGTGATTTTCCGCGGTCTGCGCATATTGGAGATTTTCACCTTAATGCGTGTGTCTTGATCGTATCCCCCCGACTACAACATTTTCCGTCTTTTGCAAGAATTTGATTTGAAATCATCCATCCGTGAGGCATGCACAGAAAGGCAGTTCATATTCCAAGCGTGCACCAGGCCCAATCAGATTTTGAAGTGTGAAAAGAGTGAGTCGTCGCTGGAGTCCGGTTTGAGAGTTGTTTGGTTGCCTCCAATCTCACGCCAGCTGGCAGCCGGCAAATCAGTTGTCGTGTGTGTTTTCAGCTTCAGTTTTGAAAGCCCCAATGTTTTCATCAGTCAGCCTTTGTCAACACTCTTGAAGAGTCCAGTAGATGTGGTCCAGATAACAGATCAAAATGGGCCTGGAATTGGTTAGACTAACAGCGTACAATGGAGACAGGTGACATGGATGGAGCTGATGGAAAAATAATCCTAATGGTGACAACCATCCCTTTTATAGTGCCTTCTTTTTTTTTTCACTTGAAGATGCAGTCGATAAAAGCCCGTACGAAATGGCATGCGAGCTGCAGCGGCTCAGCTAATCTGCCATCACTCTCGGACACAATATGGGAGACGAAATGGAGGAGGCAGGGTCCCAACGGAACAAAGACCAAAGTTAAGTGTTCTTGCCAGGGCTTGCTTTGCAGTCTGGCCGTAACTTGCAAATATTTCATGGTTGACTTCCATCCAGAAACACCAAATATCCACTTTGTGTTCATTTGGTCTTCCCTTGACAATGGTAGGGGCAATCAGTCTGTTGGTAACCACATGAAACGCTTAAAATTCCAGATTCAGATGATTTTTGGAACCATATGGAGCATTGGGAGTACATTAACCCTCGTTTAATGTGAGGGATACATTCCTGAGCCATCCACAATCTGTGTCCATCTGCAATATAAGGGAGTATTTTTCTTTCATAGTTTAACCCAGGGGTGTCAAACCCATTTTTGGCGTGGGCCACATTTTAGTCACCATTTCCGTTGGAGGGCCATGATGACTGAAATCATATAAAGAAGTCAAGAATAATGCTTTATTGAACTACTGTTCCCCATTGCAGTAACTAGAAGTTACTGCAATGGGATGTTTGGCAACAAGAAATTTTTTACAATATCTCTATTATTTATTTCATATGAGAATTTGAAATTTTGGTACATATTTTGGCAAGCCTCATGGAAGTTGCCATGTTTGATTGGCTTTCGCGGGCCACATAAAATGGTGTGGAGGGTCAGATCTGGCCCCCGGGCCTTGAATTTGACAGCGATTGTTTAACCCCTCCCACATGCTTTAAACATACTTAAATTAATCCAAGTCTCTGTATGAGTGGGTTAATTTTAATTTATGTGCTTCACACTTCTCCCCGCTTTCAATAAATGTCTGAAAAAATGGCATTGGTGACTGTGGCTCTCCTTGCCCGCATGGGGGGGGGCTTTAGAATAAGTATATTGTAAAAAAAACTATCCCTAATATGTATTGTTCTGTATGTACAGCATATTGTCAGTGTCCAAACAAAACAGTTTATGTAATGTTGGTTTGAAGCATTTTTTTTTTTTAGTGCTCCTTGAAAGAAAAAAAAAAAGATATTGGGACAGAGTACGCCTGTCCTTAAACGCACTTCCCATGAGCTTTTTGTTCAAAAGCAAAAGAGAAGCATTTGGTGGGGAGCACAGAATGGAGAATAGGAAGGATGGTGAGATAAAAAGACAAGCAGATGGCATCAAGGACACGAGGAGAGACGGGAGGCGAACACGACAGATAGAAGAAGCCAATGTAAAAGATAGCAGTGCGGATGGTGGAGGAGGAGAATGAAACAAACCATCTGGAATATGCCCCCCCCAAAAGAGCCCCCCCTGCTTAACATCTTATTTAGTCGTAGTAGACTGCCGCTGCCAAGTCGGTGTGTGCGCAAGCTAGTCGAGGCGCTCCAGATTGGATTCCATTGTAATCAGCTTCCACGATAGGAATTCTAATAGCCAACAACAGTCATTCTTGTTCCTCCCACAAATCATTTGAACACAAGGCAATATGTCAAATGGAATAAAAAAAATAAATACCAGCTTGCACTGGATGGAAAAAAAAATACTTTGTGAAAATGTTAGGGAGTTATTTATTTACCTCTATTTCCCATGAATATGGTTACATACGGACTTGGATAAAACAAACCATGAGGCATAATCACACTCGATGAATATGATTATGTCTGCAATTTCAGCATATCTCCTCCAACTAGCGACAAAACAGCCTTGGAGGAGATGTGGCTGGGAAAAGAAAAAAAGGTGCCATATCGCTCTGGTCAGCATGACAGGTATACCTGAATATTTACAACCCGGAGACTTTGAGCTGTTTTTTTTCCAAAGTGAAAGCAGATGTCTTATTTTGAAGAAACACAAAAGATAAGACAATCTGCTTTCGCGAAGCACGACAGAAGTCGGAGAGCATTAAAGGTGGAAATCGGAGGATTTGGACAATTTTAAGTGAAACAATGGCTCAGAATGATGAATTGACGATCAAAATAGTTGAGGATGGATTTGTGATCGATCAAGTCGTGAATCGACGCCCACAGAAGTAACTAACTAGAGAATATTAATTCATAAATGTCTTCATATGTGCTGTATTAGTTAAAATAACTACCAGTTACACAAATGTAACTTCTTTGAAATTATTGGTTAATTCCGTCATTTATTCTGCCCATTTGCAGTAGGCATATTTATATACTGATATACAGTAGCATTAAATATGGATGATTTTCCATGAAAAAACCATCACCTTATTGGGCAGGAAAATTGCCCTTCCACATTAACTTAAGAGCTGGTGGTGAAAGACTTTGGCTGTGATCACTCGTTGATCACGCGCCGAGGTGTTCTTGAAAGTCCGGAATACATTTTAAACGCACCCATTTGATTTTTCAATGGCTATTTTTCAATATTCCCTCAGTATTTCTTCAACTTGCCCTTTACTGAGCCATGGAAATCCAATTCTTGGTCTGAGAATGAAATAGGCCATGACGACTTGCAATAGTTTCATTCATGAATTCAAACGAGCCTTATAATTAACTTGGAGTTCTTGGAAACCTTGAATGACCTTTGCCATTCCTAAAACAAATCTGGCTCGCCATTTTAACATATGTCAGTCACTCGTAGTGTGCTTCTTTACGCTGAATGGATGAATTTTAAGGCTCACTCACCCCATTTTTCGGGTATGACACCCATCCGAGGTCTCCCATCACAGAGCGAGAGTCCAGCAGGTTAACTGTGAAATGAAAATAGCAGTCAGTCAAAATGAAAGACATACCGTGAAAGGTATCAAATATACAGGAGGTGATCGATATTTTGGGCACCAAATGGTGTTCGAAATGCCACCGTGATCGCGTTAACATGACCTAACAATTTACATACATTAAGGCGGCTGGCGATGACTCGGCTCACGGAGACCTAGTCAAAATCTTTCTCCATCGGTAGCAGACCTCCAACCCCCCGCCCATAGTCTACATTACTCAGAATTCCCATTTAATTTTTCAGCCGATAAATAATAATTCCAATCACAGCGGCAACGGGAGTTGTGAGCACATCTGGAATCACATTTTTACTTGATGTGGTGACTCTCTCTTGCATATCTACAGAAAATGCTGACAATCGGCATGGTGGGATGGTGGCACATGGTTGCTTCCATATTATATGTAGTTTGGTTACAACAATCAACTACCTCGATTAAAAGACAAAAAAAAATCCCCAGCGGTGGAGACTTTTTAATGTCAGCAACATTTTCAGAAAATTGTGCTTCCGGGGTTGCACACAAACTCAAGAGTTGACATTGCTGACATGCATGACATGACCATGGAATGCTCCACACATTTGTTAAAAGAAAAAAAAAAAAAACAATCTGGATTTTTTATTTTCATGATTTTTGATTTTGATTTTTCACTATTACGAATAGGAATGAGGAATTTCAAACTACCTTCAGCTTTTCATACTCCAAATTGAGCCAGGTTGCTGGGCTTCATTGCTCGTTTTACAATGGCAATCCCAATTTGACCCTGGATTACATTTCCATTTATTTCTTCTGTCTTTGTTTAGTTACTTTAAATCTGCATAATTTAATTAACGTACTGTAACAACTTTCAAAATTATGACAAAATAAATGAGTTTTTTTGTGGCAACATATGTCACTTTTACGTTTAAAGCCGTCATTCTAGCCCATAAATGTTAAACCAGGCACTGCTGTTGTCGGCGGCACTCACATTGCTGAAAAAACACTTTTCGGTTTGACCAAAATGCAATGTTTTGTGTCATTTCCTATTGAGTTCTAAATATTTTGCCTTTGAGCGGGTGGAATGTTGATTCTTGAGAAATGAAAACGGTGCACAAAGGTAATTTCCACATTGCATTCAACATCGGGAACAGTGATTAACATGATTGAAAACGGAGATTGAGCTGATGCATCAACATTACGACAAAAGCAGCTCGAGTCGCGTGGGAAACGTTCACTTAACTTTATCTCATTGGTGATAATGTTGAACTTGTTCCACGGTACACAGTGTGCACTCATGTAATAAAAGTGAAAGTCCAATATGAAGGATCCTTTGTTTTTCTGTTCATGTTTGTTTATGTGCAGTTATGCACTTTATATCATTCTGAGAAAGAATAATCGGTGAGGGGAATGCAATGACGCGATATTTCAATTTAAAAAAAAAAAGACATGATGTTCATCAAAATCCATCGAAAAGGTTTTTGTCTGTGGGCAGAGTCTGTCTGGGGCAAACCATGTTCTGTGCCTAAGACTCGCTCCCTTCTCCAACCCTTCCCCTCCACAATCCGCTCGTCTTAAAGTCTCCACCCGGTCTGCCTGGAATAATAAAAGATGTCCTTTGGCGCCGATTAGACAACTAATTAGGCCATAAAGAAGAGATAAGTGATGCTGAACTAGATCATATGGGATACGTGTCCGCTTTCACTCTACCTTCAACCACCTAACTCGTGACAATGATCTACTGGAGGCATTCGGAAGACTCGTCACTGCTCAGTGACGGAGGGGCCTTTCAGTGTTGCGCTGCTATTATTTGAAAGATGTTCTCTGAGGAGCGCATAGATTTTTTTTTTTTTAGTTTGGGGAGTCGTGTTAAAATGAAAAGGCCAAGAGGTGCTTAACACTTTTCTGACCTCATGCTATTGCACAGATATCGTCTCTTTTCTCTGCAGAACTGCCTTCATGCAAGGTCGGTCATGTTAGCTTAAATCGTTCCGGTTTGATTTGAACCCTTTCATGCCCCCTGTAACCTGATAACATGATAAGCTGTCCACTGTAGTAACCGCTGTCCCTCAAAGGGTGAATGGCTTAACTTCTCTTCATGTCATTTTGCCAAACATAGCAAATCCACCCCCTTCCTATCAACACTATTAAGTGTGATGAGTTTGGCCCTCGCTAACGTGCACCCTCGTATACCGGTTACCATCCTCATTAGTCAGATATTATTATTCTAAATAGGGCCAGGGTGTTCATCTCGAAAACAGATGCATGAGCATCTTGCGGTGAATGGACAATGTTTGGAGAAAGCCATCAATTAAAATGAGCGTGGACTCGCTCCAAAAGAGGACACTAATCAAATTGTAACTGTTTTCCCTCCGAAGTGGCTCATCAGCTATGTTTTTAGACTCAACGAGAAGTTTTGTCACTCCTGGAGCTGATAAGATAAGATAAGATAAGAAAACCTTTATTAGTCTCGCAATGGAGAAATTCCCAATTCACAGCAGCAAAGTTATGAATGGAAGAAGTAGAACAACAAAATATAGGAGCTGCTGGAAAGGCAGCCACTCACGCGGCGCCATCTTGAAGTCAAAATAACAAAAATATATTTAAATATTAAAGCAGCCATTAAGGTCGTTGGCATTTGCAGTTTCCTCCTCCAATTAATCAGATGCCTCGCAAACAAGAGAAAGAAAATTGCATTTGTCTATTGCTATTCGATTGATGGAAATAACCAATTTTACTGAAGAGCACGATAGGATAGAAAAAAAAATCTACGTTCATAAAAATAAGACAGAATTGTTTGTATGGCAGAATTCTGTTCATTATTGATCATTATACTTTTGGTCAATCATATAAATTGCATATTAATATCAATATACTGTATTTTGTAGCCATCAAAATAATAATTGAGAAATTGGAGGATTTCACTCTGGCATGCTAGCATGTAAACTGAGACTCAACTAGTTTGTTGCCTAAACAGGCTGCAGATGAAATCAAAACAGGAAGTAAATGTTCTGTAGGGGGTCTTTTGACGCCAAGTATTTGGGGTCCCGTGGGGGGGGGGGACTTTGGATCCCAGCACTTAAAATGAATGTTTCATTATCTCAAACAGCCTGTCAGTCATTGGTCCCTTTCAGTCATCATCACTTTTTCCTTTCTCATCAATTGTACCAAGATGCGTTTGACAAATTTCAAGACTGTGATCCTCCAATTAAAATGTGCGCAGATTCGTCAAATCCCATTGTTCTTTGGCAGTGTGTTGGACGGGATATCAACCCAGCATGATGTATCAGGTGGATTCCAACTTCTTAAATGAAGGCTGCCGTGCACAACAAACAACAGGAGTAATCCATTCTGCGGCCGCACAATGAACAAACACTTTTGCGCAGCCTAAACTTTTTTTTTTCCAAATAAATCTATCATGTGAAGAATAAGCAGGTTGAAGAATGTGCTCTCTTTCCCCCGGGATAATGCCAACTAACAGCCTCGACAATAGCTTTCATCTCACACGATTAGAATTCTGCACAGTGTGCAGACAATAGCGTGGGAACACAACCTGCCACTCCGTTCCATGATGTCGTGACATCACCCGCTTAGATGTCGAATGTAGCGAAGCAGTTCATCTGAAGTGACTTATGTCATGTTTGCACGAGCTGATGAAACGATCGGAACAAGCCATCGCCTTTTATTTATCCTGGCGGTAGCCGTGAGATCAACAAAGCTGATGACTTAAAAGTTCTTATAGGGAAATGCCAAAAAAAAAAAAAACGGCGTTCGAACAACAAAAAGAGGAAACGAACACATTAATATGACCACATTCGTGTGTTTTCTTCAAGTGTTGGCATCGCGCAGTGCGTGTCAGTCCACGCAAGTCTTCAAATGACGGGTTATCTGTCAAGGTGTATGTTCCGTACAAAGTCTTTTTTTTCCGCCTGACATGTCAGAAGGAGGCGGAGAGCCACGCGCGCGGTGGTCCACTAAAGTGATTAAACTCTTGTCAGTGATAAGTCAAGCTCTTAAAGCGAGGCTGACAGACTCACAGCTTACCTTCATTTGCCGGGATGCACCACGCCACGCTCCAAAGCCACCACGTCCACGCCACCAGCCCCGCGCCGCAACTCCTCCAACGCGCTCTCATGGCGCATCCAAAAAATTAAAAAAAAAAAAAAAAAAAAAAAACTAAGAAGAGAAAAGCCGATTCCGAGTCGCACGTTGCCTCAGCAGCGGCGTGGTGAAAGCATGAGTGACGTAACGCGGGGTGTCCGTTCAGTGGGGCGAGGGAAAGCTCATGTTGTGCGGCGGACTGCTCGTTGAAAGCGACTGTGAGCTCACCAGCTGGAGAGACCGGCGCCCCGCCGGTGGTGGGCGGGGCTAAGATCCCAAATTCTCCAATCACGGAGCGCGCGCAGGTAAAGTCACACCGCAGGATTGTGGTGACCCAAAGGGCACCAAATTCCTTGTCGCGGTAATCACTTGATGCGTTTCTTGCGCAAGTGTGACCATTTAAGTGGATGTGACGCACCCAGATGGGCTCTCAAATCAACTCCACGTTCTTCACGACAATCAGCGCTTGCATACAAAAGTGCAGGGGGAGGGAGACAGCGAGAGAGAGAGAGAGAGAGAGAGGAGAAAAGTTTCAAAACCTCCTGAAAACGACCGGTAATTTAAAATAAGGATTTAATGAGAGTCATGTCCATAGTTGATAGATCGACTGAAGAAACACAACACTTGAGTTCCTCATTTTATTTGATCACTTGATGCAGTTTGTTGCCTTCTCCATTGAGCCGATGTGTTATTTTTTTTTTCCAGACAACTTCAGGCGACAGCTAACTGAGGTGCGAATCTGTGGTGTAAACTTTTGCAATGGTGACTCACTGACAAGTGTTACTGCACTCCTACTCTGAGGTCTGTTGTTAACTACACTGTCGGCCTGTTCATTTTCGTGATTTCTTTTATGCCTGCCTTCCATATGGTGACATATGGGGTGATTAAACAGCTAAGTAGCAAAGTCTAAGATAACCAGATACTAAATACATTTTTTTACAAGAATCATGTAAATGTCATTTTGTATTTCTAATACATATACAAGCAATGTGGTTCTACACAAGTGCAAACACTACAATGCGAAACACATTCAAATGTTTCATCTACTCTATGTCACAATGCTTTAGCCTCACAGAAAGTGTCAGTCAAAACTGAGCATTCTCAACTCTAAGAACACTTTCCCCACTCACACAGCTCCTGTACGGTTTATTTAAGGTTTCATTGATCACGATTCAAGTCTTCCGACAGATATTTTCTGACATTTTAGTCCGGTTATTGTCAGAAATATTGCGCTACCGTATTTCACTACTGCTGCGCTTTGTGTGCACTTACTGCGAAAAATGTGGGAAGCTACATTCCAGATTATGGCATAACCTCTGAAACATTCTCACCTTTCGGAGCAAAATATAGAATCTCAAACAATTCTTGCATCTTCTTCATGTAAACGATGAGCATCGTAGGTGTAGTAGCAGGGTGTTGACTGTGTGTGTGTGTGTGTGTGTGTGTGTGTGTGTGTTTGACAGCGGGTGTGGAGGTGGTGCCAGGAAAGTGTGGCTTTCTGAAAGCGTTGCTGAATCCTCCACAATGTTTGTGGAGAAGAATGCCAGATAGAAAACAACTTCAAGTCTCCAAAAGCACATTCTCAGTTAACGATGATGAAGGTGATGATTTGATTGTGTAATTTATTGTTCTTTTTTTTCCTGTGGCTTTCTGCGCATGGTGTCTCAATCTAGAATCATTGAAAGGGGTTATTATTATTAATTTTGTGATAATTGCTAAATGTTGCTGTCTGATGACATTTGAAAGAAGGAAGATGACTGTTACTGTTAGGGATTATTAAACAAAGCTTTTTAAAAGCATCCCAAAATATATTTGCATGCTACCGATTACAGTGCACTCATTGCACACAATTGCACACAAAATGAAAACACAAAACAGGCAAGCAAGTAAACATAAGACCCATGTTTTTTTTTTAATGATTGGAAAAAAAAGAAGCTGTAATTCAAGCATCTTTTGAAGCCATTTTAAAGCCTTTATTTAGTGGCAAAGCAGCGACGTGGCGTTGAACTAGGCCATGCCCTTCAACATGTGAACCGTTTTTCACAGTTTTTCAGAAGGAGTGCAGCAACTGGCTACACTCCAGCATGCGGCAGTGTTTTATTTTCCAAACGCGCTGATTGGGTGCAATGAGAGGTGATGGTACCCTTGTGGGCTCAACGATCAACTGTTGTTTTGTGCCAGCCCGCTCATGTGGGACACCGAGGGGAGCCAAGGAGGCAGGAAGGTCAACCGTGACGCCCAATCGAAACTGGACAACATTATGACCACTTTTAAAATGTAAGGGGACCCAAAAAGGAGGAGCAAACTGTTCTCCTTTAATGATCCTTTATTTTCATTAACACAACCAGAGCGCAATTACCGTACTGGCCCGAATATAAGACGGCCCTGAATATACAGTAAGATGACCCCCTCTTTTTCAAGACTCAAGTTTGAAAAAAGACTTTTTGAACACCAAATTAATTTTTATACAGAAAATAATTACAGTACATCTAAAACAAATGATTATAACAATATGTTTGAGAGAAAAAGCATGTTATTTTTCGTCATTCAAATCTTAATATCTGAACATTTAAATATGTAAACTAAAGTGCAATCACATTCGAAAATGAATGGCTTCTGATTTTTGAAATGTAAATTACGTCATAACTTCTCCTCAGCTGCCGGTTAATCTGGCCGATTTTCGACCCACTTTTCTCCAGATTGTCGCTACGTTTCTCCATTTTCTGTTATCTCCTATTATTTTCTTCTTTTCTTTCTTACCGCTTTTTTTAAATTTTTTTTTCTTCCTGCTACCGCTATTTTTATTTTTATTCTTCGTGACGGGGTTCACTTTGGCCTGGGGAGTCAAATTCAGCATTCACTTCAATGAAATCTGGCGCCATCTAGCGTCGTGAATGGGTATAATGTCTAGACCCCGAATATAAGACGACTCCCACTTTTTCAGTCTTATTTCAATGCAAAAAACACCGTCTTATATTCGGGGCCAATCCGGTAATTCAAAAATATGGTTGCCTTGTGGTGTAAAACAGCGCAAAATCATCATGAGAGCTGTTTCGTCACATTTTTCAGTCATGTGCCACGTTTTTCATTTTAGCATGTGCGAAAAGATGAGCGATCACCACATCGCTGTCCTCCACCCATCTAGGAACTTCGAGTTACTCATAGCGACACTAACGAACAAAGTTGTCAACCTTCAAACAAAGTTCTGCTCTTCTGACTCTTTGGCCTCTTGTTGAACCCGAAACATGGAACTCATGTTTTTGGGTCTTATAAAGAAGGAAAGCTCCCCAAAATACACACACGCACACACACACACACGCACAGACACCCACACACACACACAACACACACACACCCTTGGGCATCGTTAAGCCCTGCTTAGCAGCTCAGTGAGTCTGGCAGGCATGGCTGCTGATATTCTCGCCCCATTTTGACTGCACCCCCTCTGCATACTGCTCCAAATCCTGCTGCTCTTCTTTCACACATTTTATCACCCAACTCAGTACTGACAGAATATATACTTCATGTGAGAAGGGGTGTGTGTAGAGGGCCACGGGAATAACTTATTCTAAGTGCAATCCTTAAAGAGGAAGAAAAAAAAAGAGAAGCCTGGAAATGCATGACAAGCCTTTGCATAAACCCTCAAAGACAAAGTGTTCTCATTTCGACTAAATGCAGCTTATGATCATTATATTACGGTAAGTGAAATGACACTATTCTGTTTGAAATGTCGTCCATGCAACACAACATGCGGTATGGCTTCCGCTATCTGGCCAGTTTCTCATTGTAAGGCAACGTTTTAAACAACAATGCTAAATGAACCGTTTCAGGGACAGCGGTTACTACAGTGAACAGCATATTATGTCATCAGGTTACAGGGTGCATGAAAGGGTTAATGAACGCAATTGATCTGCAGTATATTCGGAGCGAATGTAGATTTTCACTTGAGCAGAATTCATAGAGACCAATGGGTGGAGGCATAATCATTGCTAGCGGGCGGAATCCTTTCATCTTCAAAACCACAACTTGATTGCGTATTTACACCACGTTCTTAAAGTTGGTCCCTTATATTGCCCTTATATACTGTTCCGCACCAACATGCACACAACACCATCCCAATATCTTAAGATATCCTTAATTTGTCCCACACTGGGGAAATTTACAGTCTACAGCAGCAAAATTGTGGGTAGAAAGAAGAAAGAAGTAAAACAAAGTGTTTGCATTCACAAAATAAATGTTTTGTTTCAATGTACACAGTTCAATTAAGTGCAATATAAATATAGATATAGGTGGCTGTGCTATTTACAATTGTTTTTCACGTAATTTTATTTTATTTATTTATTTTTATTCAGCAGCAAACTGCAAAGTTAAGAGCAGAATCCTGCATAGCAGATTTTTTTCTTCATGTTGATATGTTTTTATTTCAGTATCAGTAGTAGTAGGAAGCCGGCCTGGTGGTCGAGTGGTTCGAGGCGACCTCACAGTACAGAGGTACCGGGTTCGATTCCAGCTCCGGCCTTCCTGTGTGGAGTTTGCGTGTTCTCCCCGTGCCTGTGTGGGTTTTCTCCGGGTACTCCGGTTTCCTCCCACATTCCAAAAACATGCGTGGCAGGTTAATGGAACACTTGAAATTGTCACTAGGTGTGAGTGTGAGCACGGATGGTTGCCACGTGATTGGCTGGCAACAGGTTCAGGGTGTCCCCCGCCAACTGCCCGAACACAGCTGGGATAGGCTCCGGGACTCCCCGTGACCCTTGTGAGGATAAAGCAGATCAGAAAATGGATGGATAGATAGTAGTTGGAGTAATTGTAATTAATATTAGCTTTAGGGCAGCTTTCATTCAAGTCAAATTGTGAATGGTTCAGAAAAAGTGTTTTCGTCATTTATCATAACATATGAACACCTGGATTGTTTTACTTGCTGCCTTCAGAATACAAAGTAACTAACACATCAACTGCATAGACACACGGTGGCTTGGCTCTAAAACAATAGATTTTCTCTTCCCATTAACCTCCGATTCCCACATTGCGCTCACACACACAAAGAGGGACCAGGGCAATCCAATCAATTGTTTGTCCAGCTTAGAGATGCTAATGAAAAGCTGGCATCTCACGAGCATAAACATCCGCCCATTTGATTTGCATTTAGTAAAAAAACAAAACAAAACAAAAAAAAAAACACCTTATTAGTAACTATGTAGATTGTGCTTACCGGTACGTTGTTCTGAGGTTGAGGGTTTAAATCTCTGCTCCTGCCTTGCTTTGTGGTGTTTGCCTGTTTGAGAAATATATGCATTTGTACTTACAAAATGTGTATTAGAACCTGATATATATTTTTTGTTTTTTTTGCAAGGGGAAGAAGTTAGGTGCGAGTCTACTTCTTGACG